TCACTCGGTCCCAGGGGAGCACTCAGACACAATCATTTCTCGTTGTGTCTCTTCCAATCTGTCGCTGATGACTTTAGACCCTCTTGGTTCGTGCATCACTTAAGCACGTGCGCATGCATGCATCCTCTGGGCTGATCTGGGCTGGCAGAAGCTCCGAGAGTCCCGTAAGTAATTGCTTTTCGGGTTGCGGCGAGTGTGGGTGGACATATCTTTGTGTGCGTATAAATGTGTGTAGCTCAGTCGTGGCTTTGTTGTGTACCTGCATCGTAGGTAGCGTGTAGATATACCTAAGGACATACATAAATATGGTATGCACAAAGCTGAACAACAGACATAGAGGCGAATCTAGTTACAGATATGGTTGCAGCTAAAGAGACGAGTATAGACAATTAGGATACAGATGGGTATATAGAATGGATATAGATCTGGATATAGATATGGATAAAAATAGGGATATAGATATGGATATAAATATAGATAGAGGTATGTAGACATTGCTGACCTGTTTATGTCTGTTGTGTCTACCTGTTCATCGAATAGTTGCACATATACGAAGGTTCCGGAGATCGAAGTGCGAATCTTCGCCGATACCACGGGTGAAGCATGGAGTCCAGAGATTTCAGGCATTTAAGGATACATCGGCATCCAGAGATGCTTTGACAAAGCATGCACAAATGCATATGTACATACGAGCATCCATTTGCTGAATGCCTCCCTGTTTCTACATGTGTACACCTGCTCTTCATCGATTCTCAGTGTCTCATCTTATAGGCTCGAGCAGGATTTCAAGAATGTACTTCTGGGCTCGACGCTCTGCCATTGCGGCGTCCTGTTGCAGTCTGGAGTGGGTAAGGACTTGGGGCGTAGGACTTGTACGTTCTCACGACTGAGCCCCGAGACCTCAGATTCTCCACGAGGGTGTCGGCATGAACACTAATACCCCATCCATGATCGACTTTCACGCGCATTACGCCCGTTGCCGTCTGAGTCTGGTCCTCCATGCTCGTCGCGCCTTTTTTGCATCAGGGCTTGTGCAATAGCCTGAATGTCTGAGCCTACAGAAGTTCCGCTCTCATGACTGCGCTTCCATACTTTGCTCAGGAAAACTCGCAGACACCGC